GATTAGATGGCAGTGGTTAAGGAAGGAACCCTGGTTCAGTGGTTAATAGCTCTAAAAGGTATGTATATAGCTAGAGCCCACTAATATCTCTGTGGGAGAAAAGATGTCCTAGTTACACCCTTGGGAACTTGGGAACAGAGGAGTGAGTGAGTGTGTGTGTGTGTGTGTGTGTGTGTGTGTGTGTGTGTGTGTCGCTACTCTCTGCTTATCTGGAAGTGCTTTGTTCTGACATACAGAGGGTTGATGAGTCAGAGGAGACTCTTCAGCACCTATCAACAATAGGGTAGCTATGAGTCAGAATAGACTCAACTGGGCAATGGGTTTAATTTAATTAAATGTATATCTAACCACCTCCCTCAATGCTCCCTACCTTCATCTTATTGCTCCTTAATCTGTTGAGAAAAAAAAGTAACATTTTAGTTATTTAATTAAACTTTGCTTGTTTTGAATATTCTGAAAGATGACTTAAGTGTCCTTTAGTTTGGCAGTGAAAGTAAGGGCACATATATAAAAGTATTTTGAGTCCCTTTCTTTTAATCATGTAAACTACACATCAAAAGAGCAGGGGAAAATGTTAGAGAAAATTATGCCATCTACTATAATTTATCATAAAAATGTACATGTCCAGAGAAAAATTTTACTATATCTTACAATTGTTTCTTTTAGCTATTTCTGTTTCCTGCTTCAAAGTGTTTATAAGATATTTATAATAAGACACAGATCAGACAAATCAAATACAGAAACAAATCAGATTAAATCTTGTATGGTCTAATTTGTTACGTGTTCTCAGGAAACAAAACAAACAAAAGCAAATTCACACAATTGAGGTTTATGGAGTAAGCACCACTTGAGGAATTATTTATTTCTCAGTTAGTGACTTTATACTTGGTCTAATATAAAGCTTTTGTAGTTATATTTTAAAATAGCTCATTCCCACACTGTTGATGAGTCTTCCTCCAATCCTGATGCCACATTTCTCTTCACAGAGGCTGTCTTCATGAATTATTTGCTCAGCATATAGATTAAACAGCTCTGGAGAAAGGATACCATTCTGATTTCCACCCTTTCTGACTTTAAACCATGTAGTGTTCCCTTGCTCCATTCAGACAACAGCTTTTTGGTTTAGGTATAGATTTCATTTGAATACAATTAAGTGTTCTGAATTCTCATTCTTCTCAATGTAAGCCATAGTTTATTATCCACACAGTCAAGTCTGCATAGCCATTAGAACACAGACATTCTCCTGGTCTTCTCTGCATTCAGCTAGGCAGCTGGAGTGCTCCTTGGAGGTAAGGCTTTGTTTTTGGACATGTTGCTAGGAGAAGCTATTCCCTGGAAAGAGATAGAATGCTTGGAAAGGGGAAAGGTCGACAAAAGAGAGGAAGACTCCTAATAAGATGGACTGACATGGTGACTGCAGTATTGTGCTCAAGTTTAACAGAGATGATAAGGATGGCACAGGACGGGACCGAATTCAGGTCTGTTGTTCACAGGGTTGTTATGAGTCATGCTCAACGCTACTGCATGTAACAACATTCTTATTATTATTTTTATGCCTTATGTCTTAGGAGAAACTGGGGCCATGAGTACTGAGAATTAATTTAACTTCAACTTTCCATTTTTTAGAATTTTGAAGTTGCTATTTTAAAGTTGTTTGTTGTATGCTGTAGAACCAACTCATAGCTGCCCCTCCAGCAGGTTTTCAGAGGCAATAACTCACAGAGGAAGAGACTGTCCATCTTTCACCCACAGAGCAGTTGGTTGGTGGATTTGAACCATGTGCTTTTGGGATTTCAGTGCAGCTTCTTAGCACTAGGCTATCAGAGTTCCCTATATTTCAAAGCTTAGCTGTATTTTTAGATGTATATAAATAAATGACAGATCTCAACATACTAAATAGAGGACATTAACTTTTCAAAAAAACTCATCTAGTTTAGGATTCTTATAATAATTTTTAATTTTGAGAGAGGATAAAGTATTATTTGATGTCATTTTCTTATTCCCCTTAATATTAAGTGCCATAATGTGCTTTTTTATGTTACCTTTTGTATATATCACCTTTTACTATGGCTATTTTATTCCTCTTGAAAAAACTTTCTTCTTGAAAGACTTAACATTTTAAAATCCTAGGTTTATATATTACTGGGTTGTTTGGGATTTTTTGTTGTTTTTGTTGTTTATTGTTGCTGTTTTTTTTCATTGTGAACTCCCAGAACATACAAAATGTTATTTTATTTATCCGTGTATTCTTATTGGGTCACAGCCAAGGATGCCTTCATCCTAGCCTGTGCTTGTTGGCAGTGGGAAAGTCACAGCCCATGACTGTTCAGAGGAAATACAGTCTGGAGTTTTCTAGGAGAAAACACAGTTAATCACAGATAGACAAGAAAGACTGTCCTCCCTGCCACCACGGAGCTTTCCATTCCCCATACCAGAGCTCTTTCTCATCTTTCCCATCTCATCTGAGTCACCGCTGCACTTAAGGACACTTTGTCTTCCATAGACACATAAATGGACACACTTTCCCAGTGCACCGTGCTCGGTAATGAAAGCTCTAGGAAGTGAGTGGAACATGAAATCATTCCTTCCGCCCCACCAGACAGATGGATAGAGGCATTCCCGTTTGCTTCCACTCTTTTGTCTTTGGAGCATTTTTGGCATTTCCTTCAGGAAACTGGGGGTTGTGACCTAAGGTTTCCTTAGTGAGCACACTCCTGTTTCCCACAGTTAACCTTACCCAGAAATGACATCTACTCTATGAGGTGAGGTTTATCTTCATGTCCCAACTGCGTCCTGTACAGATTCAATGACATTTGAAAACACAATTCTGAAAGTTAACAATAGGACTTGGAGAGCTAAAAACACCCAATCCGATTTAATACTCAATGAGGACAATAATATTAAAAAAGATTGAAATGAACGCTTAACAGTATCACTATCCAGTAAATCTTTTAGATATTAAGAATAAGAAAAATTCCAGATAAACGGTGGTTTAGTCAGCCTGCGTTCTACATATTTTTAATGTGTTCAGAGTGTAAACTACAAGAACTCAAGCCAGTGTCTTTAGCAAAGTGATTTAATATTGTCCTCTAAGTCCAAATCCCACTTCTTGTTGGTAAAATCTAAGAATATAAGATTTTATTGATGGGATAGAGCTTATCACTGAGTCTCAATCTAAATTAGTATTTCAACTGTATGCTGTACATTTTAAAAAAATTGTTTTAGAGTAGAATTATTTTACTTTAGTTCGAGTTGAATGCAATCAATTTAAAACCCAAAATTGCATTTACTCACCAATGTGGTATTTAAAAGGTGGGTGGTTTTTCTCTCATTCTTTACCACACTTACTGCAGGTTCTCTTTCTGAAGCAGATAGGGTGGTTTCTAACCAAACCACATTTTCTTTCACACCCATTTACAAGGGGGAGCTCTGGTGGAATAAACCATAGCAATTTCCATAGCTAACACAAAGGTTGAGCCACTCCACGGGTTCTAATCCACCAGCAGCCTTGGAAACCCAACCAAGGGTCACTATGGGTTGGAACCAACTCAATGGTAATTAGTGAGTGAGTAAGCGAGCTTACCAAGGTAAAATGCTTTAAAGAACAACAGACTTTTCCCTTTTTATTTCAATAGCCAGGTAGTATCTCAAAAATCATTTTGAAAAAGGTTCTTCACACAGGGATCTTTCCAAAAAAATCAGTTTATTAATGTTTAAAAGTTGATAAAGCTATGTGCAAAATGATCCACAAAAGTCAGAAACCTATTAAATAACTATTTTTTAAAAGACATTTCTTGGTTTAATTGCACTGAAAACCACACTAATGAACAGCTGTTTTTGTTTGTATTCTTTGCAACATTCATACAACTCTTCCATTAACTATCTAGTTTGCACTGTGCTGAAAATCATGTTGTGTTCCCTATCAGTTAAAGTAATGCTCTAAAGATGCAAGACGGTGGTATTTTCTTAAGAAATGCACATTCAATGGTGTTAACACAGGTTAGAAAAAATCCAATAAAAACACTTCCACTGAAACAAATACATTCAAAAATCATAAAAAGTATTTTGAATACAACAAAATAGAATCATCCTTTTGCGTTGTTCAGGGAATCACACAACGCTCTGACATAACCATTAAGAAAAGTGCCGAAGATTGATGTTGGATGTGTTGGACAAATTCTCTAAGGAATCTCTCCCGATTTAAATAAGTCAACTCCCAGTCAGTTTTCATCTTACTTTGTTTCTTTTAGGACACTAGGATTCCTAGCTGATACACAAAGTACACCAAGCAGACTTCCCTATATAGCTTCAGTCATAATAGATATGCTACTGTAACATAAGAATGTAAAAGAAAAGAAGAAAAAAAGAAATCAAAATTACTTCAACCGAATTCCAAATTACCCAGCGTACATAGAAACTTTGGCCTCTGTAAATTACATTGCTTTTATACCTCCAAACCAACTCCACCTCCTAGTCACAGATGAGCAAGAAAAGGACCGTGTCATCTCCCCACCTCTCAGATATGCCTGGTAACATAAAGTCAAAGAATTCTGAGGACTAAGAAGGGCATGGAGGATATGCTAGACATTGCGAGAGAAGCAGAAGTGCACACACTATTTGTGAAAGAAAACATCTCCTCAAAGTTTGAGACAAAGAGACTTGTTCAGACAGGGTCATCAGTCCTTGGGGAGGGGCTAGCCCAGCCCTTTGGGAGCCTGACAATGCTAGACCTTTGGCTCAGTGCAAAATCAAAGCTCCAGGGGGGGAAGACACATGTTCCAGGTCAGGACCCAAACTCCACCCTTCCCAGTGCATTGTTCACAGAACTAACCCTACCCACGGGCACCTGGCGCCACCAGGCCTCTCTCATATTCTCCCTCCCTCCCTCTGGTTTCTTGCAGCAGCTCTGCCCTGACAACAGTCAGAGACCCAGAGAATATTTCCAAACACAGGAGTGGTGACCACATAATCTACTCCTCACGGGTTCGCAGCTTTCAGTTTTAGGAAGAAGAGTTGACATTTCCAGAGGACATAATGGTCTCTGGGTTGTCCCCATCGTCCTTCTGGGGGTGGGATGAGTTGTCAGACTTACTGCGGCTGAATTCCACGCCTGCAATGATGGGCCGCTTGAATTTGCCCGCAGAGTCTCCACTGGGACACTTGCAGCAGGACATGATCTTGACAAAAGCCCTGCGCATCTCCTTGTTGGTCAGAGTGTAAATGATGGGGTTGGTGCCAGAGTTGAGCACGGCCAGTACCAGGAAGTACTCCGCTCGGTACAGGATGTCGCAGTTCTTCACCTTGCAGCCCACGTCGAGCAAGAGCAGGATGAAGAGAGGCGCCCAGCAGGCGATGAAGACGCTCAGGACGATAATCACCGTCTTGAGCAGAGCCAGGGACTTCTCAGAGCTGCGGGTGGCCTTGGACATGTTCTTGCGGAACGTAAGACGGCGGCTCCGAGTCCTGACCAAGGAGTAGATCCTGCAGTACAGAATGACGATGGAGAGCAGGAGCAGGGTGAAGACCGTGGTGCAGAAGAGGATATAGTGCTTGTGGTAGAGTGGCAGCACCGTGGAGCAGCTGGGCAGCGTGCCAATGCAGTTCCAGCCCATGATAGGCAGGCCTCCCAGGATGAGGGAGATGACCCAGCAGGCGCTGATGAGCAGGAAGGAGCGGAAGCTGTTGCTGCCGTTGTGAAGCTTCATCTTCAGCATGGTGATGTAGCGCTCAATGGCGATGGCCAGCAGGCTGAACACTGAGGCCGACAGGGCCACAAACATGCTCCCTTCCCGCAGAAACCACTCGGCCGGGGTGAGCTTGTAGGTGGTGGCGCCAGACAAGAGGAGGTTGGCTACGTATGCCACTCCTGCCAGCAGGTCTGAGAGAGCCAGGTTGCCAATAAAATAGTACATGGGCCTATGGAACTTCTTGGTTTTCCAAATCGTCAGCAAGACGAAGATATTCTCCAGGATGATGAAGCAGCAAATAAGGATGAACACCACTGAAGTCAATTTAATGCCATTCACCTTGTCGGCGCTGATATTCAGCTTCCCTGTGTAGTTGTAATGGAGGATGATGATATCATAGTTGACATAGTCGGAAACAGAACCTCGGAGGGCCTTGACCTGTGGGATGCCAACATACCCCATGGTGCAAGTAGCACGGTGGCCCCAAGAACTGAGGGTGGCACTTCTCTAGACCGACGCTAGAGGGCGACGTCGAGAAGCCGTCACTGGCTCAGCCAGATCCAAGGTCCAAGCTGCTGCTTAGCTTTCAGGGGCCTCGGAAACCGCAGCCTTAAACAAGTCACAAAGAGGAGAAAGTCAGGGGTGAGGGAAATCACATCACACTAGCATAATTCATTCTAGCTAAGGCATTGCTCCAGATTTATTGATAGGTTTCAATGGCACTTGGGAGAGGTCAGGAAAAGAAAAAAATTTTAACGCTATTTTCATTTCTTGAGGAAATGGGAGGAAAAGAGCAAAACCAAAAATGTACCTCAACTCAAAGTTCCAATTAGACAAGACTCAAACAACTCATATCCACTCAATTGGAAGCTTGAAACGTGGAGAAACACGTCCCTTTCTACCTCCTCTCTCGCCCCCTCGTCCCCAATTCCCCAGGCAGGAGATTCCCTGGGCACCTCAAGGTCTCACCTCCTAGGAGACCCAGCTGCCAATCTGAGGGCAGAGACACACACCTCGCCTCAACCCTCAGCTAAAACAGACAAGCACCACCTCCTACTTGCTATGCAAGACATTAGATTTGCACAAAATCACTTGACAGCCATTCTTTGGGCTCTAATAATAACTCAGTAGCAGCAGGTGTGCAGGGTCTGCTCACCACCCTGGGTCTCAGGGCGTAGTAAGGTGTGGGCAGCCAAGCCCGCCCTAGCCTTGGGTAAACAGGAAAGAAAGCTTTGTGCCTCCGTGAAGCAACCCCTAATTCTTCCCACCCCCACCCTTCGCAATCTAGTATAAGTAAATTTAAAGGGACTCAGTGAAAACCATTCACAAGAAAGAGGGTGCAAATTCCAGAGGTTCCAGATATTCATTGGATGGATAAAGAATGTGAGGTTTGAGTTGTTTTGGGTTTTTTTTTTTTTACACTGCTTTGAGTACAGCCACGATAATACAACACTCACAAACACACCCAAAAAGAGAGAAGTTATACCACTAATGACAAAAATAAGTAAGTGCCTTCACACTCCTTATTTGACTGCACAACAGCTCTCTCTAGAAATTCGCATAACCGTTCGGCTGCTGCATTGCTAGGCGAGCGTGGGCAGTTTCATGGACTGCCCCTCCCCAACACGCTGTCTTTTCTCAGAACCAGAAAGTGTGAGGGGTAACGAACTCTACTTAGCAAAACTCTACTTTCAAGTTGCTTAAATGTTTCAAGGCTACGCACCAACGGTGATGAAAGTGGCATAACGGAGTTTGGAACCAGCCCAGCAGTTTCCCGGGACAGTGGAGCCTGCTCGCGCCAAGAAGCTCTGCATTTTCCCCTCATCGAATTCTGCACCCCGCGCTCTCGGGCTATGCCAAGTTTAAAGCCATTTCCCCCACCCCCATATTCTTTGTCTATAGGATTTCCAAAAATAGCTTCCTTCTTCCCTCTCTTCAGACCAACTGCAGCTTTCAACCCTCAATCTCAGTCGGTTCCACATTTGGAATTTAACCCTGTTTCAAACTCCATAAACCACCAAAGTCCCAAGAACAATTGGATCCAGTTGCTCTCCTAAGCAGCCCAGGGATGTATGTTTTCTGCGCCCAGAGAGGTGTATTTTCCAAGTTTTTGTTTGGCTTCCTTCTCTCTTAAAAATTCGCTCTGATTACAGAGACCCTCCACCACCCCACTCCCACCGGCCAGCGCCCCCAAGCCCCTCACCTCTCTCAAGCAGGACGGAGTTGCTTTCGGGGAGCTCCAGGTCTGCAGGGCGCGCACCGCATCTTGCTTGCCGCCGAGTGACGGCGTGGCTCTCTTGCAAACTTACTCGGATCACCCTCCCTCCGCAGCCGTGCACTCCAATGGCCAGCCCCGCTTTTCGTGACCCGCGCGGGCCGGGAGAACGAGCCGCAGAGCGCCACGCCGGCCCGCGGTGGCTTCTTCAGGAAGAGACCAGGAGAGATTAATGTCGCAGCCTCTCACTCCTTCCACCAGTAGCCAGGGGCCTCGGGACCTCAGCAGCTGAGAACCACTGTCCAGGAAAGATCTAGGGCAGAAGAGGCGAGGGGAGGGAAAGAAACACACCAAACCCACCCAGAACTCCTCCTCCCCCTCCAGCGGCCAAATAAAACCGACGGGGTGGAGCCTGGTGCCCCCTGCATTCTAGTGTATAAATCACAGCCTTAGCCTAGCCTGTGGCCCCGGGCAGAGAGGAATTTCTCCACCTTTGGGTCAGGGATAAGGTGAAAGATCTTTAGAAGCTTCTCCCAGAAAGGACGACCCAGCCCCAGCCCCTGGCCTTGCATCTCCTTGGGCTCCCACCCCCGGAGCCCTCGGGGAATCTAGGACCTGGAGGCCCACAGAGTCCCCCTGGGGGCTCGTCGGTGCAGAGAGGAAACTTGAGCCGAGGCCCGGCCAGCAGCCACAGCGCTTGGGGCGGCGGGGTTGGGAAGGGCCTCCGAGGGGGATAGAGGAGGCGAGTTGTTCCAGGGGGAGGGTGGGCTGAAGGGTTCCTCCGCCACCAATCCCATGTTGCCTGGAAACTTGTGTTCGGGGAAGAAGGCAGAAAGTGGCTTTCTGGGGGTGTTTGGTGAAATGTTGGGGCGAGGTTGCTCCTCTCTCAGCTGGGTTTACAGTCAGACCTTTGTCTGCGATTATGGCCCTTTTTGAATCCTTTGGTTAGGTGGGCTGCTGCACGACTCAGAGGTTTCAAGAGCTCAGGAATTTCCAGAGGAAGAGCCGCCTGGCCCGCCTGGCGCCCGCAGCTGCCCAACTGGATGCCCGCGCCCTTCTCCCCTTTCCTGCTCCGGAGGTGACTTCAGAGGACACCAAACCTTAAGGGTTGCGTATGGTCCAACTCTCTTTTGCCAAGATGCCACTTCAAAATTTGAGTCTGAGAAAAGCCCTTGGTTCGCGTTTATCTCAGTGGCATTGTCAGGACACGCCTGTCCCTGCCCCACAGCTACTTAGTTTCCACCCAGTACCCTGTCGCCCATCCAGGCAGATGTGAACGCAAAACTTCCTTTCCTGTGAAGTTTCAATTGATAGACACACCCTGTACCTGAATGACTCAGATGGAGGTTGAATGAATAAGCAACGGACCCCTGACTCTTTAGATCTTATGAGTTTGCAGAAAACAGTAAGTGACAGTTAATTCACAGCTGCCTTAAAGCTCTCATGAACGACATAACACTCAATACATGGTCATGGATTGGAGTTTTTCATTCCTGGCTAGCTAGCTACTCGATTACCACTCATAGCATGCCTCTATGGCAGGATGGAACTACCCCTTAAAGTTTCCAAAACGAAAATTTTCATGAAAGTAAACTTCCTGGAATGACTGTTCGGTTTGAAATGCTAAGCTATGGTTAGTAGTAGAACCGAACCGCTCACCTTTTGTATTGCCGTATAGTTTCTTTCTACTAGGCCACCAGAACTCCCTCCAGTGCTACCACAGCTCTTTTAAACTACAGTAAATACATATATGCTGTATGAAAAATGCTTGTACCAAGAGTGAATTGTGGATCCAAGCAAGTTTCAATCTCCTTTCCATCCATCATAACATTGCCTATTGGACAATCTTTGTTTTCTTGATACTGAGACGCAGTCCATACTGAAGGCTGCGTTCCTTGATCTTCTGCCACAAGTGCTTTAAATCCTCTTCACTTCCAACAAGCAAGGTTGTGTCACCTGCGTAACACATGTTATTGATGGGTCTCCCTCCAATCCTAACACCACATTCCTCTTCATAGAGTCCAGCTTCTCAGATAATTAACACCTTTAGTATGAGTTGTGGGGAAATAAGGAGATACATTGCAATAGGATAATCTGCAGTTAGGGATCATTCCAAATTATTGAGGATTAGTGATGTCAGTTTGAGGACTAAGGTGTGTCTGATTCAGGCCATGGTCTTTCCAATTACTAGCTATGCATCCGAGACCTGGACCAGAAAAGAATTCATGCCTTTGAGCTTTGGTGTTGGTGAAGAGCACTGAACATCCCATGGATGGCTAAGAAAGCAAGTAGGTATGTCTTGGAGAGGGTGCAGCCAGAGTGCTCTTTGGGGGCAAGAATGATGAGGCTTCACCTTACATACTTTGGACATTTTGCTAGAAGGTGCTATTCCTTGGAGAAGAACATGATGTTGAGAAGGGTGGAGGGTCGGCAAAGGAGAGGCAGACCCTCAACCAGGAGGATTGACAAGGTGACTGCTGCAGTGGGCGCTTGTGGGACAGGACTATGTTCAGATCTTTTGTTCACAGGGTCTCTTTGAGTGGTAATTGACTTGATGATACCTAACAACATATGAAAACCAAGATAATGGTCCTCTAGACTTCAAAATGAGCGTTTCTGATGGAGCTTATGGACTTGATTTGTTTAAAGGGGAACTATATCACACATCATTATAGTTTATTTACCACTGCTGCCCTTTGACTCCAACCCAAAGGCAAATGGTTCAAGTTCTCCAGTTGCTCTGAGGGAGAAAGAAGGGCAATCTCCTCCCACGTCATTTACTGCCTCCGAAAATCTCTAGGATCAGCTGAGTCAGTTCTGACTCAAGGAACTTTAACAACTGCCCTTTGAAGCCCAAGAGTCTTAGTACTCAAAGTACCAGGTAGGTAAAGGTGAGCCCAGAGAATGGTCTGCAAATCTCGTCCCTCAAAGATTTATAACCTCAGAAACTCGATGGAGATTGACTACGAGTTGGAAACAACTTGACTAGACGTCAGACGATTTTGTTGTTTTGTTTTGTGGGTTTCAGTCTTTTTGTTGTTTTTCTCTCGAGCCTTTTGAAGCAAACATTATTTGCCATTTTATTAATGAGGAAAGGTCATGCAGCTAAAATTACTTAAGATTCATGGAGCTAACTGGGGCCAGAGCTAGGTTCCTGGACTTCAGTACCTAAGATGCCAAATATCCCAGCTCAAATGTCTTCAATGTATAAATAGTCAGTTGTTGTTGTTGTTGTTATGTGCCGTCGAGTCATTTGCGACTCATAGCGACCCTATGTACAACAGCCCTAAACCGTGCTCTATCCTGTGCCAA